CAGTGTGATGCCTCGAAGTGTCACTCGAATAAGTGATGGTCATCACAAATATGAGCAATGAATTAAATATTATACTTTTGCTGCGATGATCATCATAACATCGTGAAATATTTCTTAATCACAGAAAACGTGCAGTCAGTATCACACTCGGATTTACAGTGGTGTAATTATAGAAGTCGGTATTCAAACCACAAACCTATGCGTTGAGCGTTATGTTGTGCACAGGACAGTGTTTGGTCTGTGTTTCCAGTGTCACTCACTGGCAGTTTTGGAAGCGTATCCAGGCGTGGACACCCTAGAGTTCCAATGTCTATAACACGAGCGTTAGGTACTATGCTCTGGAGGATAGACCTCTTCTCCTCTCCCTTCACATGCCACGGTGCCTGGGGTGTTAGATTTCTGAAATGTAGATGTTTTGTTCAGGCCCTTCATACTTGAGGTCTGTGGTTTCCAGACCTTTATTCTGCTTAGGATACTCAATGTATTTGCTGAGGATGGCCTCCTTTTTTCATCGTCATATCAGTTTAGCTACAATTTAAGTATGACCAGGTTTTGTTTTCAACGTGTGGACTGCATCGACATCCTCTTTGGAAATCACAACTTGAAAAAAGTCTGCTATGTCCTCTATACATGCAAAGGTATTTGATAGTAGGGTTTCTGGGACTCTAGTTGTTTCGCCTATTGTAAACCTTCATTTCTTCTAGTTCAGTCTCCAATTGCTCATTCTTGGTTTTAAGGTTGTCTAGGTCGTTTTCGACTTCATCTACTCTACTACTTATACCTTGTACTACAACTATAGTTGGAGGTTTTTTATCTCAGCAGTGTCGCTCGCTATATTGTCGAGCTTACCCCAGATGGCATTCATCTTCTCATCTTGTGACATTTTCGTGAAGTCCTCGACAGGTGGTTTGGGGTTCCTAACCTCCTTTTTGGTGCAATTACCGCAGTTGTTTGTCTTTGCAGTAATGTCAAGGGTTTTGAACTCCACACTTACACACGTACAGTGGTTCCAGTTTTTACATTCACGGCACTGAATTGAGGCATCAGCCCTTCTAGTAAACTTCTCTTTACAATTGTGTCCACAAGTCTGACAGGCGACCGCCATGATCACCGCCTTTGTTTTTTTCGGCTGAGGTGTTGATAAGTAACTGCGTGCTCATAGTGAAGACTTCAAATTTCCAACTATGATTTAAAAAATCTGATTCAACGGAGATAAAAGGATGATTGAAATAACACAGACAAAATGTGGAATGCTTCAAAACACATGAATATTAATATGAAACGAACAAAACAAAATTGAGTGTAAAAAAAAAAACACCAATCAAAATCTATTACTCCTTCCGCATCCTCTTCGCCAACAAAACACCATCCATGTCGATGTCATCCTAAACGAGTAGGCCCGCCCTTCCGCCAAACGGAGTTGCCAGCTGCACTTCCCTGCGCCGGCAACTCCGTTCGGCAGGGGCCGGGCCTGCTTGGCCTGCCGGCGGCGATGGTCGGGCCTTCGGCCCGACCATTTCAGTCTCGCGATTTACTGAATTGCATAATCAAATAAATAACGTGAACGGTAAATCACTTTGCATATTTGAGGCGTCCGGCGGGGGGCACTACACTGTAAATCCGAGTGTGATACTGACTGCACGTTTTCTGTGATAAAGAAATATTTCACGATGTTGTGATGATCATCGCAGCAAAAGTATAATATTTAATTCATTGCTCATATTTGTGATGACCATCACTTATTCGAGTGACACTTCGAGGCATCACACTGTTTTGCAATAAATCCAGAATTACCGCATTATTTTGCGATAAGTATCACAGAATATTTGTGATAAAAATTCATCACTCCCCCAGGAGTGATAAACCCCCCCCTCCCAAATCCGCCCCTGAAAGGGCCAGCGCGAGTGGGGGGTATCTTTTTGGGTGTGGAACTTAACCTAAATTTTTTGAAAAAGGTATTTTATGTGCGTAACCCAAACCTAATTTTTTTTCGACGAGTATCTTTTTGACGTCGAACATAAACCTATTTTATTTTGGAAGGGTGTCTTTTGAGCGTCTAACTCTAACCTAATTTGAAGCAGAGGCGTGTTTGGACTTGTCTTATAGGTGTGTAACATAAACCTAATTTTGTATGGGTTATCTGAAAGGGTGAAAATCCCCCACCTAATTTTTGCAGGAAAAAAATAAAAGTGACACCGGGTAGGGATCGAACCTACGACCTCCTCGTCGATCTCCCCTTGAGAGGATCATATCTCTTTTAATGGTTAAGATTCCACTCCTCACATGTTTTTTTTTTGCTTTTGTTTGTTTTTAACATGTTTTCTTTTTTTTTTGGCGTCACTGTAATTCAAAGTGTGATACTTTTCACACATTTTCGTGTGATAAAATGCCCGGTGTGATTCCCTTGATTTATCACTCCTGGGGGAGTGAT